TGACATTCCTTACTTGAAGGATTATGTCAAACTTCTGGCGCAGCGACGTTATAGTCAAGCGGAATCGCACAGCAACCCTCTGTTGCGCGACTCAGTGGACTACACTGTGGAGCAAGTTCGTAAACATTCAAGGCCACGGCTCGCGTAATAAAAAATTAGCGCGAACTTATAATAAACTTAAAATTACACTCCAAGAAAACCTAATCAAAATTTGATTAGTTCACCTCAAAATTCATCCGTGTACCAAGTCAAAAAGCCTAGGTGTCTCCTGTTAAACTAAACACTCCTATTTTTCTTTGCTCTTCTCCATTTTTCTTCTGTTTCCCTTTCTCTTTTTCCTTGACATTGTCTGGTTTCTGGGCAACCAGTACTGACAGATTCGACTGACGTACATTAGACAGTGACTAATGCGCAAAGGTCCTACGGACCGCCCAGACAAACAAATGACGAATAGTATCAGAATCAGAGAGGTGTTGCCTGTTCGTTCAGTTACTGACTGTTTGCCGACAGCTAGTACGCTGTTCGTACATAACCTTCTGACAGGTCAGAGAATGCGAGTCAATCAGTGACAGCTGTCAGAGTGTGCCGAAACTATCTTGAGGACTAATATTGCGTCGCAAAAGGCATTTACTGATCAATGTCTCTTCTCTAACGGACAGGCTGGGAACGCTTTCGCACCGGTGGGCTGTCGGCGATCTAGCTCTCTTCTACCGCTAGGCGGTAGTGTATCGAGTTTGTGAGGGGGATGCTGAGGGTTTTCCCAGTTATATTAACCTTAGGCAGTTTAAACATAATAATAATAATAATGACTTTATTCAGAAGATGATCATAGTATGGCGAAGTTTAGCCGTGGGTACTATACCACTCAACCATACTACAACCAGACATCACAAAACATTAGCATAACATGAATCAGTAGCTGTAAGGAATGCATTAAAAAGGAGTAAACATATAATATGAACATATACAAAGAAAAGAAACAAAAGAACAATATATCGTTCAGCAAAATGAATTTATCACTCAATGTGCTGAGTCCAGAAAGTGCAACTTGACTGTCTTCTTGAAGCGCTGCAAACTTAAGCTCTTAGAGATAGCTGGTAAAGAATTGTATACCTTGACCCCATTATAAGTACAGGACCTTTCGAAGACCGACGATGTATAGGAATGGAAAGTAGATCATTGTGCCGCAGATTTAGAGTAATTTGGTTTCCACGAGGAATCAACTTACAGAGCTAATAGACGGGTTTACCAGTTTTAAAAATTCTATGTACCAATGAAGCCATAGAGTAGTTGTATAAGCCGTCAACTCTGAGCCACTGTAACTCCTTGATTTTTGAAGAAACGCTACTGTACTTCCTAAGCCCAAATATGAATCTGCAACAGTTGTTCTGAAGCTTCTGCAATTTTGACTTGCAAGCTGAGTCTAGGCATGGGTAAATGGGGACTAGAGAGTAAGCTAAAATTGATAATATGAGGCTTTCACACAACTTTTTACGGCACTTAAAGTTTAGAATATGGCGACTAGAATATAAAAGCTTCATCTTCATATAACTCGACTTCATAATATTATTCACATGTAAGTTAAATCGAAGATTTGAATCAAATATAACACCTAGATTCTTAGCATTATCACAAAATGGAATATCTATGTCGTTGATAAATAAGGAGACTCGATTTGTGATATTGTAATTTGAATGTCTAGGACAGTATGGTATCGCGGTGCATTTTGATGGATTGATGTGGAGACAGTGTCTATTGCAATACGTTAATACGTTATCAAGATCTAGGTTAATTTTATAGGATGCTTCATGTAAGTTAAATTCATTGAAACGAAATGTTAGCTGTGTATCGTCAGCATACATTTGAATGCAACAATGTTCTACACACTCATGCAGATCGAATGTGTATACTTGGAATAAAAGAGGTCCCAGTACTGAACCCTGTGGAACTCCTGATGACAGATACCGTGCATCAGAAGTTCCTCTAGATGTTTTCACTCTTTGGGTGCGATCAGTTAGGTACGATCTGAAGAAATTCAAAGGAACTTCCGACATGCCATAATATTTTAGCTTACTCAAAAGAATCCCATGATTGACCGTATCGAAAGCCTTGGAAAAATCAAGCATGACCAACAGCGTGCCGGATTTGTTGTCAAGGTTGGAAAGTATCTCATCTGCAAGATGTAGTAGTGCAGTAGTCGTACTGTGACCTTCACGAAAACCAGATTGGTGTACTGGAAAGAAATTATTATTAGCAAAATACTCAACAAGCTTTTCGTATACTATCTTCTCCAAGACTTTTGACAAGAAACATAAACCACTTATAGGTCTAAGATCGGCATGTTCAGACGGATTATTACTTTTGGCTAGAGGTGTGACTATTGCCTCCTTCCAGTTGGATGGGAAAACGCCCCTCTCTAAGCAAATATTAATAATATGCGTGATGTGATCAAGTATTTCAGGCAGGCATAAGCCTAGCATAGTTAGAGTGATGCCGTCACAACCCGCTGCTTCAGACTTGATAGACAAGACTGCATTCATAACTTCACGAGGGGTTACCAGACGAAAGTGAAATGATGACACGTTGGGATCGAAGCGTCTGTTGCTGTAGCTGTTGACAGGTTTTGATCGGCAGGCATAAAAGTACTTAAAAAGTATTCGTTGACTTCACGGGGATCTAGCAGATTAAACGGTACATCAACGCGTTTCTGTTGACAGACATTCATAGATCTAAGTGTTTTCCATGCTGATCGTGTACTAATATCACCATATCTAGAAAGGTAGGCCCTCTTCTCCCTACGAAAGGAAGGAAGTGCGTAATTCCGCATATCTTTGTACGTAGACCAGTTCACATCAGATGGGTCATGACGGAAATTCAAAAGAGCTTTGTCGCGTTCCTTAAAGATGCATCTCAGGTTCGATGTTATCCATGGAGCAGCCGGTTTTGTTACACGAGCAGTCGGTAATTAATCGAATTAACAAAGTCACTTCAAGCTCCTCATAGCAGCCTCGCTACCCTGGCGTTTAGGCTTTGCCTGCGCGGCTGCTTCGGAGTGAAGAAAACTATGAGCGAGAAACCAAGCAGCGAATACTCCGAGAATGAAACCCAAAAATCTGAATTTTGTGGAGGAATTAGTGCCACAATTTCAACAGCAACGAGTTTTTGTAACATTTTCGAGTGAAAAAAATTAAGTGATAAATTTTAAATATCAGGCAGCGCCATATGGCAAGCTAACTCCGTATAAAGAAACGTGTATATTTTTATGGTTTGCTGGATATCAAACGGCCGTCATCAGGGATGTAGCTGATGGGTACAATGTTTTCGTGAGTACCCTGCAAGCAATTATATCCAGATTGACCAACTTTTTGTGTAGTCTGGCATCAGAAATCATAAAATGGTCAACAGGAGACGAACGATATATACAAAATCGGTATTACTACAATAAAATATAGATTTTCTGGAATCGTTGGCATTATTGACGTAGCCCATATGAAGATTGCAAAACCAGAGGATGCTCCGTAATCGTATATTAATAGAAAAGGATGCTACTCTATACATGTTGGTCTTATTAATGAAATGTACCGATGCACCAAGTAAAGTTACTTATTTTTGAATATACGGGGTGTTAATAAAGTATGTAGACAAACTTTAACTATCGAGTCCTTGTTCAATTTGGATACGAAATTTCCATATGAACATGGGTCCGCAACGGCTATGTTTTCAAGCTAGAGCATATTAGCGCTAAAAGAAAGTATGCCCTGTGATGAATATCACATGATTTACAGTTGTTTTCAGGCCCTCCATGTACGTAGATACGGATAATATTATCCAGTATTTTTTTAAAAAATTGCATGACATTGATATGTTTTGATCGCAATACTTTTAATATTCAAGTATTGTGCTTATCTAAGACACCTATGACATACCCGAAAACGCTGTTTTCGGCGAGATAAGCAATATTCTTCACCAAGAAGTCAAATTGAACCCATTTTCAGCATATAAAGGTATATAAAGTATATATAAGAAGTATTTTAATTATTATTATTACTATTATAATTATTATTATTATTTTTGCCATATTTATCATTGTAGTTGTTTTATTATGTAGAATAGTCCTATTTTGCTGTAATTAAGCCGAAACCGCCGTTTTCACCGAGATAAGCATTATTTTACACCAAACAATCAAAATAAACTCATTTTCAACATATATATTTAAGGTATATAAAGTATATATTATGACTATTATTATCAATATTACTATTATTACTATTATTGTTACAGTTATTATTATTATTATTATCAGATATATATTTTTTGACGTTATGTAGGTTTTTCTACAAGATGTTAACTTAGCACTTAGTTGTTCGTGTTGCCTAAACGTCATGAGGCTTGTTATCAACCTTTGGCTCTGACGTGATGTAAAATCTGTTTCTGAGATGGTATTACTGGAGGTATAAGCTGTAAGTTGTATGTGTTGATGATAATTACATTGGCTTCTTGTCTCAAATACACTTAATTGAGATTCAAAGCTAGAAATTAGTTGCGCATCCACTTTTTCTTATCCATTCTGGAAATTACATATACAAATTTGCCAAATTTTCGAAATGAGAGAGATAAGAAATAATTATATTCACTGTACACTGTCGAATTACAAGCCATATACATGCTAACAGTAATTACACACAACGCGGAAGCGATGATGATTTCCCGTAATTCTCCTCAGTTTTTTGATATTTATAACTTTGAACATAACCTCTCTTCAGGAAGCACAACGTAAAAATAACCCGTCGGGCACAGCATAGATATACTTTATTTTCAGCATATTCAGTAAGGATTTTCTCACACAGCAGATATCACTGATTTTATACACATGCAGACCAATACACATAATCATCCAGTTTTCTTCTTTAAAAAATATTATTTCTTCTGAGAAAATTCCAATATCGAAAATGGTAGGATGGACGGTCTCTGACTGTCGAACGTGGAGGTATCACCCGGCGGATCTCGTAGGCGGAGCCAGAATGTGTGCATGTTGCATGCACACGTGTTCCCTCGCCAGAGTCCATGTGGCGTTCCCCCTTTCCCCTGTATCCCTCTATAGCCCCACGGTACCCAATGGGTGTTTAGGCCTTAGGCCTTCGTGGTAGTTGGAGTATAAAAAAAATGTCGTAAAGATGAAAGTTTTTCGCAATTTCTCTGTTACCATTGCATTATCCATCAGCAAGCATTATGTGAACATTTTCTAAAATTAAACAACGTTATGAAATAGGTAGTAAAAATTTTGAACATGATTAGAGCTCAAGCGTTACAAAGAAGATTATTCAAAACCTTGGCCGATGAAATTGACTGTCAATACGGCGAACTCCTTCTTCACTCTGAAGTCCGATGGTTAAGTAGAGGACGAGAGCAGAAACGTTTTAATGATATCATATCTACCATAGCTCAATTTTTCGAACAACGTTATGAACCGATCCTGGAACTGGAAAATTCAGTCTGCCTTTAGAGATTTTGGTTTTCTTGTGGATATTACAGAAAAATTAAACGAATTTAATTTGCAGCTTCAGGGGAGAGACAAAGAAATAGCAGAAATTTTGGGAACAAAACTTAATCGATGGCGATACCAGGTATTTTCCTGTTCTTTCAGAAAATATATCTCAAAGTCCAATAAATATCATGTAGAAATAGTCTCTAACTTGAAGGATAACTCCAAAAATCGTTCCAAAGATTTCAACGAAATTGCTATAGTGGCACAATTTGTTGTTTCACCCTTCATGGAAATTGATATCTAACAGTTTGCAACTTCTATTACGCAGAATTTTAGCGAAGACATCGCTGCGACAGAAATGGAACTGATTGCGTTTCAAAATGATTTAGCTTTAAAATCATTATTCTCAAATACAAAATGTATCTGGCCTTCAGTGGGTAAAGATAAATATTCAGTTTTATGTCGTGTGGCCTTGGGAGTGAAAGCATTATTAGGTTCAACCTATTTGTGTGAATCTTCTTTTTTATTAAAAACAAATACCGTAATCGACTTACAGATGAACATTGGGATAATTGTATTCGAATAGCGGTATCAAATTATACTCCAAACACTAAAAAAAATTGTCAGTGAGTCTGAGTGTCCGGCTTCTCGTTGAACACGCATTTTTTATCTGGAGATGTTTTTGTTTAAAATAGTGCTTTGCTTTTTTTATTTTTAGTTACCTTTATTGAATCGTATGTGACAAACACCTACCTATTAGTTATTAGTTCATTTGTGTTCATTAGTATGTATTAGTATTAGTAAAATAAACACATGTATGTCGCATACAACTATATAATTTCATTTAAGTTGGCTTACATTGCTTACGACTAGGTAGCTCACTGTTTATTTCAAAATTATCAAAGTTGTTCAACACACTGTTGGCGACCACTGAAATAGGCGATTGTCCGGTATGGTTACAGTAGAACTCGACAAACTGATTGATATTTGACCGCATTGAAGTGTATTATCAAGTACATATGTTGTTGCCATCACATCTTCACAAATACCGTTGATAAGGATATACATAAGTAATATTTCCATTGTTTTATTAACAAAGAGTGTAAAAAAATAAGTTGATAATATTTTTGTAATAGATGCTACCTACGTATGATCAGTCAGAACAATAACTTTCAGGTAGATTCATATCATAGTAAGTGCAAAGTACGTATTTAAGCGTTCATCTTATTTTATCTTATTTGGACTAGAATAAATGTCAAAACCGAATTGAGTCAGTTCATGTTACGTGAACGTCAAATTCCACACACAATGAGTAGTCGTCGTTGAGGCTCTTCAAGATGAACACTCCTGGTCTCTAAAAATAAACAAATTTTAGGTTTTAGACGCATTTTATTTTTCCATCACTGCAACTAAAATGTGAAAGTCATACAAAAAAATTTTAAAAAATGTTATTCAGGGCGTTTAAAAAGTTGAGTCATTTATTTTAACGAACTCGTCAAAAGAAGTTGATATACGAAAAATCACCTATTCATAAAAGTTGCATAATAATAATTATAATTCATTTAAAAAAATCATTATCAAGTTAAATGGATACCGTTTTTACAAAAACTGTTCAAAGTTGTCGATTAACGCAAAATCTTGTTCGGCGAATCCTCGAATTAAATCACAAGCATTTTCAGTGCACTGTTGAAGTTTTTCCATCATGATACTCTAGCTCTTTCAAATAGCTCCACAGAAAAAATAATCTCGGAGCGAGCAAGCCAAGAAATCCATCTATTTGGAAACTCATGATTTAGATGTTCATAAACTTCTCGTTTAAAATGTAGTGGAGCCCCATCATGTAGGAACCACATATTCTGTCTCACATTTAGAGGAGCATCTTAAAATAATTGAGGCAGATTGTGTCGAAGAAAATCTGAATAAATTTCACCGGTCTGTCGAAGTAGAAAAAAGCATGAAATTTACCACGCCAGCCCAAACATTTTATGAAAATTTATGTTGAAAATGAGTTCTTCTTACAGCATGCGGATTTTCTACTGCCCAAACATGAGTGTTGTGGAAACTCCATTTCGTGCAAATGTGGCCTCGTGTATACACAAGATTGATTCCGTAAAATTCTTATTTCTGCCGAACTATGCTAAAAGCCACTGGCAAAATGCAACTCTTCTAGGATGATAATAATAATCTTTTATTGGTACTATTACACAGAACGTGCTTACATAAGTCAATATAATAGAAGCGGTTTGTTACAAGAAGAAAATAAATGACTAACAATACATATAATAACAAACACTACAGATTACACACACACACTCACACGGACACACACGCACACACACACACGCACACACGCACACGCACACGCACACGCACACGCACACGCACAAGCACATGCACACGTACACGCACATGCTCACGCACAAGCACACGCACACGCACAAGCACACGCACACGCACACACACACAGAGTAAAAAGTATAAAATATAAAATTACAACAATCTACGTTAAAATCAATAAATAAATGGCATAAGAGATAAAACTGTAATAAACATTATGTACATGGTTCGAATAAGAATTTGTGTGTTAGCTATAAACCAATTTTGAATGCTAGATATACTGGCTGTCGCTTCGCTATTAATGTTTGTTAATGAATCGTGGGTTGAGACCAAAGTGGTGTCATCAGCAGAAAAACTATCAGGAAGACCATTTGTTAGGTCGTTTATATATAGCAAGAATAGCAGAAGGCCAAGGACAGATCCTTGTGGCACGACATGAAAAACTGTGCTGACTGACGATGTGCAGGCATTGTATTCGCCTTTGCTCTAAATAGGATTTTACTAGGACTACAGCAGAAGAATCAATTGAGTAAGTAAGGTAGCTTTGAAAAAAGTATATCATGCTGTGCACAATCGAAGAAATTTGCCTCTATATTATTGCTTATTTTCAAAACCATCGTGTACAATGTCAATAAAACTGTTTGTTGCAGTAATGGTAGATAAGCCTGTTCTAAATCCATTTTGATGAGAATTTAGGAAATTGTTGGTTTCGAGATAATTGCTCAGTTGGTTCTTGAGTATATCAAAAATTTTCGCAAAGTAAGGTACCAATGGTATTTGACGGTGGTTCGAAACTTCGTCTACAGACCCATTTTATATATAGGAATTACCCTGAATATTTTTAGGGCTGCGGAGAAAATATTTGATTTTAAACACATATTGGTAAGCTTGGTAAGCAAGTAAATAATTACGTTTAACATCGATTTTAAAATTTTACTATTTAGTTTATATACGTCAGTACCTTTAGAGTTTTCAATAATAATAATATAATAATAATAACAATAATAATAATAATAAGTTTATTTACGTAACATACAAATGTAACTAAAACTAACATAGGTATACGTAAATAAACTGAATTTACCCACAGAAGAATAAATTCTTGTGCGTGGGTATTAACTTACATTTTTACATAAATATATATATATATATATATATATATATATATATATGTATATTCATATAAATAAACACATTAAATAGATGCACATACACATATATACATACACACATGCATATATACAAATATATGTATACATATACACATATGCATACACATACACACCTGTACATACATACATATATACATACACATATAAATGAGTATATGAACGTTGGAGGGTTTTTACTATTAATATGTTATATAATCTACTGGAAAGGTAAGTATGACATGTTTGGCCTATACTTTTTGAGGTGAAAGGTGTTTGCTTAATGTTGTTGATTTTGTTTATAGTTTAACATAAGTGATCTAACGGAAGAAGATTATTTCTATGGTGAAATTGACAATTTATAATTTTATAAAAAAGTGTTGGCTAGGGTCTAATAGTTTTGCTTCAGAATACAACAGATCAGATGGGTATAAGAGTGGTTTGTCACAGATTATTTTTAAAAATTGTTTTTGGATATAATTTCTAATTTATTAATTTGGTTATTAAGTGCTCCACCCCAACCTAATATTACCTAACTTATACGACTTTCGGTCATAGCATGATATAAAATTTTCATTGCTTGTTATCCAAATATTTGTTTAGATACCTGAATTTAAACAATAATGGTCTCAAATTGGTTATTACATGATCAATATGTATATTCGACTTTAAATGTGAGTCTGAATATACACCTAAATATTTTATTTTGTTTGTTAAACTTATTTGAGTATTTATATAATCCCAATTAATCTGTATAGATACAAAGGCTGGTAATTTGTTTCTGTGATTTGTGAATGGCATGAACATCGTCTTTTGAAAGTTAATAGTTAGGCATTTATGTCTGAACCAGTCTGCAATTATTGTTAAGTCTCTTTCAACCTTCACTTTTAGATCATCCCAAGAGTTGTTATCCGAATAAATGATAGCAGTATCGTCTCCAAAAAATATGATTGTCCATTCACATTTTAAGCTCAGCAGGCTATTAATGTAAAGTGTAAATAATAAGGGGCCTAACACTATCCCTTGTGAGACACCATACGTTATCAATTTGTTTGTTCTTAAGAAATTATTTATTTGTACGCACTGTGTTCTGTTGGAAAGGTAACTTTTCATGAGGTTATAAGCCTTGCCTCTAATTCCTGAGTCGTGTAAGATTTCTAATAGTAGCAAGTGGTCTACTGTGTCGAATGCTTTTGCTAGATCTAAAAACACGCACAGGGTATATTCACTTTGGTCCAGTAATTTGTATAATTTTGATGTCAAAAAAGTAATTGCGTCTTGGGTTGACTTGTTTTTCTGAAATCCAAATTGTTTTTCATTAATCAGATTGTTTATCAAAAAAAATAGAAGTCGTGTTTTTAAAATTTTCTCAATAATTTTTGCAAAACTGGATATTAGAGTTATAGGCCTGTATTGTTAGTATCTGCTTTTTCACCGGATTTGTGGATGGGGTTTACTACTCCTACTTTATAATCATCTGGAAATTCTCCCGATTCAATTATCAAGTCCGCTATGTACGTCAAGGGCTTACTAATTTCGGATGATTTTTCTTTAACAGTTCTGATCGTATACCATCAAGACCTCGGCTTTTTTTATTTTTCAAACTGTGTATGCCATTTTTTATTCCATTTTCTAATAAAATCGATTGCTGTATACATTTTCTAGGTGGAATTTTGTTTATTATCATTGCTAATTTTTTCCCTACTTCTATAAAGTAATTATTGAATTTTTCATTTATAGATTTAATTAGTCCAGCAGTTTATCTTGGACTTCTTTACGATTTATTTTAATTTTCTTGGTATTCTTTTATATACTTTCAGTGATTGTTGTAGTCAAATATTTAGTTACTGCGTGAACATTTCTTATATAAGTTGTTCTAGGTTTCAGATTTTAAGTCTATTATTAATTTTTCATAGTCTATATATTCTTTATACTTCGCTTTATTAGGGTTAGTATGTACAAAATCTTCAAGGTTGAGGGGTAGAGTTGATACTGTTCTATAATGATCAGTAATATCTGATTTTATTACGAAAGCTTTATAATTATGATTTTCTTCGTCACTTCTTAAAAAATGTGGTCAATACAAGTACATGAGGCGCCAAGCACTCTAGTCGGAATATTCACAATTGAGGTGAAGTTTAGTATAGACAACATAATAAGATGTTTATGTTGAAGTCTCCATTTAAAACGCAGAAGTCTGCATTTATAACATGACCTTTTAAAAAATAATTGAGATCGACTAAGAATTGTTTTATATCAGTTGAGAGTGGTCTATAGAAAGATATTATTGAGATAACAATTTTATGGATATTTATCATAGTAAGTACCTCTGTACACTCGGTGAACCGTATAGTGTCTGACGTAGAATTTAGGATTTCATTTACGTAGATGATAACCCCATCATTTTGTTTAAAATTTACATTGTTGTAGAACACTTCATAACCATTTAGCTTGAAAAAACTAACATCTGCAATATCCCAAGTTTCAGTTAAAATGATAACGTCGAATTTCTTATTATATATTAAATTTCTAATTCGTCAAAAGTCTTTGATATACTTCTAATATTTTCATGAAATATGCTAAATTCTTTTCCTTCTGAAATATTATACTCTGAAGCATCATTCAGAATTTTGGTATTAAATTGTGTATAATTGATAACCCTTATGTACTGATCCATAACTTAGTACAATACTGTATAAAAGGCAGAATACCTGCCACGTTTCTGTTAATATCAAAATATGGAATGTGAATCTAAGTTTTGATTAAGACTTATTAAGTTTATGTGGAACATTTTAAACGTATGTTTCCATTGGTCACTAAAGCATCTAATTGACTCATGTGAAATATATAATTACTTTTATTTTTGTAAATCTTAAAATTAGTTATGTAATTGAACATTGTAAAAAATGTATGTTTTTGGGAATGTATCTTTACATATTTTACTTTTTTATTAGTTTTTTTAGATTCAAAAATCGATTGCATCAAGATATTCAGACGGCATATTTTTTATAAACTGGACATTTTTGATCTGTTGGTACACATGGTCGGTGTTATAATTTTTTTTATATTTCTGATTAACATATATGCAATCTGCACATCTATTTCCTTCAATGTTGCATTGGAGACTTTCATGATTCCCTTCACATCTGATGCACACTGTATTATTTCTACATTTATATGAAGTATGGTGGAATCTAAAACATTTGTTACATTGTGTGGTTTGGTTATGATCATATACATTCAAATTTTGCCAATCTAATAATATTTTACCATTATTTTTATTTGTGACGGATCTATATGTTTTTTCATTCACTTCTGAAAATAATGCATAATAATTTTTTAAGTGATTATTTTTTATATAAGTAACTTTGATGTAATTTGATTGGTTCTCCACTTCTGTAGCCGACAATTTTGATTCTTGGTAGCTTTTTTTCTTGTTCTGTAGCATTGTATTTTCTTGATAACCTTTTTCGATTTCATTTTTTAGTGTAGTGATGTATTTTTCTTCTAGTTTCAATTCGATTCCTCCCTTTTTAGTGTGTTTAATGTTGTCTACTTGAACTTTCAATTTCGATAGGTCAATCTTATTTAAATCTTTTTTTGTTTCAAGTATTGTTTGTTCTTTAGTGGGATTCACGCATAGTGTCTTTAGGGGCTTGTTGTACGTCTTAGATCTGGCTGGTACCTGGCTATATGATCGCTGGTTTATGCCATTCGGTTCAACAGCTTTAATTCTATCTTCCATATTATCGATATAATGCATTATATTAGTCCTTTGTTCGTAATCTTCTTGTATTCTTCTGTTTTCTTTATCTAATTGTATTTTTCTTATGTATTTTTCTTTTTCCAACAGTAAAACATTGTTTTGTTCAATTATTCTTTTTAGTTCCTTATTTTGAGTATTAATTTGGTCGATCAAGTTGATTTCATTATGGCTGTCACACGTAGTTTCAATAACTTCATCTTCACTTTCACTTTGATTATCGTTCAGGGTTTTATTTTTTGTTTTTTCTTACTTCTGGTCACTGATTTCTTCTTGATATGTAAGTCTTTCAATTCACACCCTGTATTGTGATTAGCCTCGATTAGGTACAGCTTTCAATGACAAAGTTGCCACAAATGTCAGATTTGTGTGAAAATATGATTGCAGAAATGTACTTTCTTATGGAATATTGGAGCTCCTACAGAACTAATTACCAGTCTAGCGGGTATTCACTGTGCCGTGGAGTTCGGCGATGTTATTTTACAAGGTAGGTACGAGTAGTATGTAGTATACATTACATATAGAATTAATTGTATCTCTAACTTCATTGTATGTAACTTCACGAAAAGAATATTGATTTTTTTCTGCTATGATTATCCATATAGCTTAGTGGTGAAGTGCCATGTAACGGTAAGCTTTCTAAAAGATTATTAACAACGGTGGTGAAAAATGAATTAAACTGGTTACCGTTCAGTGTTGTGCTAACCTTTTTATCGACAGGAGCTGCATTAATTTTTATAATACTCCACATCGCTTGCTGTTTATTATTCGATGAGTTGATGTACAAATCGCGTGCATCCTGCTTACAAAATAATAATAAATAATCAGACAAATGAAAGTACACGCACTATTAAAAGACTGATACAACTGATCGAACCAAGGATTCGTACCATACAATAACACAAAAAGTTTGGAAAATTCAGATAAACGATAAGAGTAATAAACAAAAACCGTAGTGGTCGAGAATATCAAGAAATCGGTGTAATAACAGACTTATTTTTTTAATTTTCATTCTTTTACTAGTTCTTTTATTACGCAACTTTTATGTAGGTGATTTTTGGAATACCAACCCCTTTTAACGAGTCCTACAAGCAATTAAAATAAATGACTCAACTTTGAAACCTCCTGAATAGTCGATATACTGTTTTGATTTGTTTTAAATGATAAACGAATGATGAGATACTTTTACAACTGACAATGGGACTTACCCTGAGAAGCTCTGTTTTTCCCGTTTCAAGGATAACGCTGTAATCCAAGTGCGATACACCATAGTTCAGACTTACTGGAACCTTCCAAGTCATACCATATTGTTTCACCGATGCTTCAGAAGATTTGAATTTTCTCTTCAATAATGCTGAAAAACAGTTCCATTGAAATTGCGCTCTCGCAATGAGGTCAGAAGAAATTTATTAAAATGTGGGAAATGCATTTGTGACAACCAATTCTTTCATATTTAGTAGCATCATCAAGCTTTAGTTTCATTTTACTACCCCGTGTATCCAGTGGCGGATGTAGAGGGGGGAACGGGGGCACCCCCCTAGACGTCTGACGCTTGCTTTTGTAATCTAACACCATTGTGTTTCTTTCTGACACATCATGGTGACAGAGCCATACTAACTATAAGTTATAGCTATAGGAACTGAACATTGCGATTTTTTGGTATCCTTTGGTATTCCAAATGCTGTCCCTCTTTGACATCACTTGTTTACAACACAATTCTTACTATTTATACGTATTGTGACTTGTGACAAATCTGAGTCTGGGTAATATATTAGTTATACAGATTGCTCTTAAAAAGTGATTTATGATCTGTTTGTTGCTAAATAGTAATTTGAAAAGTGTGTAAAGCTTGACTGATTTTGTTCGGGGTTGGTGTTGCAGCGAAGCACTATGTTAGATAAACCCTAAATTGGAAATAGACATTTAGAGATTTGTTTAGTGGTGCACCTGTGGCCTGTCCAGAAGCTGCGATCGATGCTCAAAGTCAATACCACACATCCCGCATCTCTTCTCGCGTATGTGTCTATTTATGTTGCTATATTGAATTCGTTTAAATCACAGAGCTGCTGCACTGCATGTGAATATGTACAGTACTGTATTCCTGTACTTGTCTCGTACAAACATGAATTATTAAAATAATTACAATATAACAGGTATAGTCTTTTCCAAGGATTTCCAACATTTTTACATGCGATCAACACCGGTTCTAAAACTGAGAAAACAACACCTATGCCGTAAATCTAAGTTCGACAACGAAAGTATGAAAAATAACTGTAACATCTATATTGAATTTCAAAAACCTCAATCCCTACTGAGCGGGGCCGTGGCAAATGCTTGTTCAGGAAGTTGTTGAATCCAACTTCAACTTCTTCCCTTTCAAGTGATTGTACACGCGTTAAGGAATACCTCAGTACCGATTGCCGGGTGGTTGTACAAGTCCGCCAACGGGCCACTTTAGGTCTATTTAATATCATTAACACGCAAAAAGAAGGTGGTAGACAAGGGCCAGTCGACCGAGGCGGTACCACCCGCTAGCTTTTCCCAGTGTGTCTTATAAATGTCCGCAGCTAAGATATGCAGTCGGTTATCTTCCAAAACAAAGAATTCAGTGACGATGGATCCCTCGAGTACTAAGAATTCCGGACGTAAACTCGCTCCACACTCGGAATGTCCGGGTGGAGGGTGGACTAGAGGGAACAACATCGAAAATAAAATTTGTTTCACGAACATCTGCGGGATTAACAGCAACATTGATGCTATTCTTCACTCCTTGCAATCTAATCGTCCCGCCATGCTTTTCTTGACGGAGACAAAAATCTCAGAGTCCGCACCGATTAACCTAGCTTCCCAAATTACGAGGTGCACTCCAATCTGAGAAAGAACAAGGAAGGTGTGGCCTTTGTCCGCAGCAGTCTTTCCTGCTCGCCATCAAGATCGACTTCCTGAACATCAATCACCCCGCTTCAGATTTAATTCTCCTCGGTGATTTCAATGACCATAATTTACTTTGGTTGGGCTTAAATAAGACCGGTGCAGTAGGTCGTGCAGTTGAAGAGCTCGCTCTTACTCAATGGCTGACCCAGCTGGTGACGGGCCCTACATTTTTCCGCCGCATCTCGTCACGTGCCAGTAGCCTGCTGGATCTCTTTCTGACCACGCATCCTGTCCCTTACAGCACTGCTGTCCTGTCCCCCCTGGGTAACTCAGACCACTGTGTTGTGGAATTAGGTTTCGGTGAGAACCCGTTGTGACAGCAAAAACTCGCACAGCCCGCAAAGCTTGGCATTATGGACATGCCGACTGGGAGGGGCTCAGAGAAGACACCTTTCCTTGGACAGATGTCTGTTTTACTGACGTGGATGCGTCGGCTGCCTGTTCTTCGATAACCGAAATTATCCACGTCGGAATGGAGGAATACATCCCTCATACAGTGAAAGTGGCTAAACCTGGTTCCAACGGCTGGTTTAACAAATCGTGTGACACTACTCGCCAGCAGAAGATAAAGGCACACAGAACCCTCTTACTAAACCCCACTGTAGAGAGCACACAAGCCGACGTCGAGTCCAGGAATATAATGAAGCGGTTCGCAATGCCAAAAACCAGCACGATATAACAGTTAGGCATAGGGTAATGTCACAGCGCAATGGCAGTCGGTCTTTCTGGACGCTGGCCAAGCAGATTGAAAAGAACTTCTCACACAGTAGCCTTCCACCACTTCCGTGTGAGGATGGAACGATTGTATCGGACTCAAAGGCCAAGGTGGAAGTGCTTGCCAAGATTTTTGCTGCTAACTTTTCACTCTATACAAGCCCAAGTGCGTCAATTCAAAGGGTTCCCCACACTATGCGGAAGGTAATATTCAGCCATAAGACTGTAAGATCATTGCTTTTGTCGCTCGATATCAACAAAGCTTCTGGCCAGGACTTGATTCCTGCCATTGTACTGAAGAGATGTGCAGCGGAGCTTGCTCCAGTTCTTTCGCATCTTTTCCAGATATCTTATGAATCTGGCACCTTCCCAGAAAACTGGAAATTCGCTCATGTCCAACCCATTCCAAACAAGAAATCTAAGACCGACCCTTACAACTACAGGCCTATAGCTCTGCTTTCTGTTATAAGTAAGGTGATTGAGAGGTGCCTAAATCGCAAGCTTCTGGACTACCTCGAACGTCACAGCTTGATTAGCGACAGGCAGTATGGTTTCCGGCACCAGCGATATACAGGGGACCTCCTAGGTTACGTCACGCAATTGTGAAGTAAACTCTTATGGTGAGGCTTATGTCGTTGCTCTTGACATCACGAAAGCGTTCGATCAGCTGTGGCATGCTGCCCTTTTAAGCAAACTTTCATCCTATGGCCTCCCAGAAAAGCTTTGCAGATGGGTGGCTGACTTTATCTCTGGCCACAAGATATCCGTCTTAATTGACGACCTCCTTTCCTGCACGATCAACCCAATCCACAGCTTCCCTGATGATAGCACTCCACATTCAGGAATTCAGAGTGACAAGCCGATCTCTGCCGCTGAGCTGGAAAAAAAAAAGACTAGCGACGACTTCCTCTCTGACAAGAGACCTGGAGGCTATCACTGCTTGGGGACGCAACAATCTTGTACAGTTTAATGCTTACAAAACACAGTACTATACCTTGATGAACAAAAAGCGTCCTAAAGCTCATCCGGTTTCTATGGATGGCGGAGTTCTGCCAAAGAGCAATTCATTTCGACAGGTCGGAGTCCAGGTCACCGAGGACCTGATCTGGCACGAACTCATCTCGTCATTAGCGGGAGCTGCTGGGAAAAAGTTAGGCTATTTGTTTAGGGCCCAGATAACGCCTAGCCGCGAGTATTGATCACACGTTTGGGGTGCTACCGTCCCGACTACCTTACTTATGCTCGATGCTGACCATGATGAGGGCTGTCCGACAAACAGTCTCGGAACCCTTCCGTACCGGTTGGCCGTCGGCGATCTAGCTTCCTTCTACCGCTACACCAACGGGTTTTGCTCCTCAGAGCTCTTCTATGATGCCGCTGCGCGATGTGCCTGCCAGACAGACCCGCTTGACTTTGACCATCCTAACCGTGTCGAACTTCGTATATCCAGAACTTGCCAATACGACCGCTCCTTTGTCCCTAGGGTGTCGAGATTGTGGATTAATCTACAATAGCTTTTCCCAGTTCTACTAACCTGAGGCAGTTCAAAAAACGGGTTAACAAAATTTCTTTGGGATCATCATAGCAGCCGCGGTGTTCCGGCATTTAGGTTTCTGCCTGGGCGGCTGCTTCGGTATGAAAAACAAATAATTGGCTATACCTATTGATATTTTTATCACCTGCTGATATAATAGAAGTGCTTGATTGTGTCAGTACTTGCACCATTTACTTGATTTGTTTAATGGGCAGTTCAGAGTCTTGATCCTTAAGCTTAGTACATACTAGCAGACCCCGTTGCGCAATTTGTCTATAGGCAGTCTGGAGACGGTCTCAAGACACGATCTTCAGATGGTCTATAGACATCCTTCTTTGTCTTCTCTAGTTTTCATATGATAATGTGAATTTTTTGGTATCATGTTCGTTTTCGCAATCAAAGGCATATTGTTCTGTGTAGAATGGTCTGGAATATGTCTCGGGGTCCCTCAGAATGTTTTTTTTCAGTTAACAGAGCCATGAAGTTTTTTTTTTGAATCTTCAATATTATTACACTAGTTAATTATAAATGCCACGTACTTATTTTATTCTCATATAATAAAATATTGTCTTTCTGAGGATTTCTGAGCATTTTCCATATTTTGTTTTCAAGCTGGCCTTGACCAGATAGAACACAATGGATTCAAGGAGCTATAATAGGATAAATTCTAGAAGTTCCACAGGTTAAAAAATGACCAGCTCCAAATATCGTTTACGCTCCCCCTAGATGAATCCTAAATCTGCCCTTGCGTGTATCAACATTTATTTTCGCACAGGTAGCTCACTGGCGGCATCTATGAAAGAAAAAATGTCGCCACTTACATAGGCGACCTTTCTTCATTTTTATAGGATTCCTTTCCATCTTGCTATCTGCTAAAGGTATAAAAGCTGCACGCCCTTTGGTGAGAAGCGACGCGAAAAGAACCGTAGCGAACGGAAATTTTTCTTTGCTGATTGCTCTGAGGACTTCACGTCACTCTGCTTTCTAATGCTGCAGTTCATGAGCATTCGTTTGGTTATGTGTAAAATAACATAGTTAATTTCTCTTCTCGTCAATTGGCTTCGTTTCAGGCACCTTAAGTGTTGCATATTATGCGCTAAAAAAATTTACATATCTGTCACTTATGAGGCGCCAGTTTTTCATAAAAAGGTAAACACTCAAAAGAACTTCGTGAATACTTATCAAATCATATCAGATATGTAGCTCGATAACTTATGTTGTCAACAAGCTAAAAAGGATTCAAAAAGTAGCAGCATGGAGGATAAACAATGACAGAAACCGACGTGTATTTGCATCAACTACATACCTCTATCAATTATAACAGCAGTTACATCGACAGCCTGTCCGTATGGAATTCCGCACTGTTTGGAGGAGCATCCCGTAACCATAACTTCAGCTACTTCAACGTCACCTGAAAAAAATATCATTCTATCATGACCGTATAGCGTATTTTATTACGAATGCTTTAGGTATCGCTTAAGCATTACATAGACTCATCGGTTGAGTCTCACCGCTAGGTGGACAGTGCCATTTAGGTCTCTATGATGCTTGAGGAGTATAGTATCTAAACTAAAAAGATGAGATGTAAATAATAACAGTTAGCGCGTGATCTCTCGGTAACAGGTGGGGACAACGCCTCTTATTGGTCAATTCGCCATTAAATTTCAAGCGCGGGGCAGGGGCAAGGCAGGCAGAGTTCCACTCAGGCCACCGTCCGTCGCGTGTATCACTGCGTCCTCGTGTTTTCGTATTCAGCTTGCTTGGTTGTTGCTGTTGTTGTTGTTAAGTGTATTTGAGTAATTTGTTAAGTTTCCGTTTCTGTTAAATACTGTCATCTTTGTTTCACAACACGTTGGTGGTAGTCCATCATTCGGAGGTTGCCCTGAATGTGGCCCTGTACGCCGTCCTTGCTTTTGGCAATCAGGCATCCATTCTATCTTGGGTGTAAAAATTCTCGACCTGACAATGAAAGACTACGATTTTCAGTTAAAAATTATTTCACGTTTTTACATAACCCCATTCGACTATAACAAACTTGGTCCAACGTTTTTCTGACATATGAATTCCGTTTCGGAACCGGAAGGCTGTCAAAATATTCATATACGGCCCTCTCAGATTCTTCATCAGGTCCAAAGCGCTTTCCAAAAACAAAATTCTTTAAATTTTGTAACAGATTGAAGACTATGGGTACAAAATCAGGAGAATAGGGAGGTTGATCTTGCAATTTATACATCAAATTCCATTGTTACCACACAGGTGCGTTGTTTTGATCAAATATATTTCTTCGTCAAGCCAGGCCTTTTCCCGTGAATTTTGGCATCCGATTAGTACAATCCTTTTCGCACCGGCACCAGCTAGCACCAACTGCTTCGTCTGCTGTCTTGTTCCTGGCGTTTAGTAGTGGACTCTTATCACATCCATGGTAACGAATCGCCGCACAAAATTGGTCGGCTACTAGTTGAGTTCCATATCGAGGACCTTTTCGCTGGTTTCTACTGTGGTTACGGTTCTTAACCGTCTTTCGAGCCATCATTAAGGACCGTGGGACAAAGTTTGAATTCGGCTGCGTCTTTTTACTTCCCACCCCTACTGGCGAGGACGTATTGTAATCGCGAAAATCAGAATTATGTTTTTTCGATGTTATATCTGTCTGCCTGACTGTTCGCTAATCCTTGGCCCGTGGTGAAGGTTTATCTTTTCTTTTAATTTCAGTATATTTATACGCTCCCAACCTTGTTAGTTCTACGCACCTGTCAGATACGATACACATACACTGAAGATAGGATGTTGCGCATATGGGCGGAGCTTCGTGACGTCACCTTGAGAGTTGTTGGCTCGTGGTTACCAGCGGCAGGATTGTCGTAACGTTACTGCAGTGCACGTGCATCGTGGTTAATACTATATAGTGCGATTTGTTCGGGATTTTTGGTGGTTTTGTGACTTGTATTAGCTATACATAATTTATATACCCTGACTGGTTGATACATTGATAAAAATACGGTGTGCTGTGGTGGAAAGTAATTCCGACAACCAATCTAAACGGAATCCTTGCAAAGACATCAAGTTCCACAGTTTTCCTCAAGTCCCTAAACTTAGCAAAATATGGCTACATCTTACAAAAAGAAAAGACAAAGGCAATGTAAGAAGAGCAAAGGTTTGCTCGAAGCACTTTTGTGAAAGTGCCTATAAGCAGTGATGGGCGTTTACGCAAATACATTAATTGTCAACGGCTCGATGTATACAATGCGTATACAATGAATACGAGTACAATGATGAAGACAATGTATAGAACAGCATAAGTGAGGTTAGGTTTATTCGTAAACGACAGAAAGTTGGTGAACAGTGAACCGGCAACTTGAAAAAATTATGGTTGGACGCCCCAAGAACAAAGAAATCGATGAACTAGGGTTCATTTTGTTTAAAAAGGGTAAGACGTAGAGTGTAGTGTTTGCAAACAGAGTTGTTCAATTCCCTTGGCTGACTTCAGTCAGCGTGGATTTTGTTTCCAAAAAGTATTTTGTTTTATTTAACTTACAAAATGTTCCTGATTTATTTAAAACGGTATCTTTGTATACGTATATTAAAAATATTATGTATTTATACCCTTTCTCGTTATTTATAAACTGCTTTCAGAGTCAAACCAATAATGCAATGTTGCAAAATTTGTAGCGATCCTCAACTTCTAGTTCCACCTAAAATAGAAGAACGATTAGGATCGATCCGGAATTGATCCTAAACAGATTCGACAAAAATTTGTATTAGGGCGTAGAAAACAGCAAGTTACATTCGTGTTCAGTGGCCTTCATCACTGTTGTGCCAGGCAACGTGGTGTGTGTCGCACTCTTCTCTCCCTCTCTCTCGTCCTCGTGCACATGGAAATCTAAAAGGGAAAAGGGACTTTCACCAGCACTGTATGCAAGTAGTTGAACTATGATTTGCTATTGCATACATAATATACATTATATACATTGTATACGTGAATATCGAGTCGTATACAGGGTGTAAACGTTATGATATTCATTATTTAAATGTGTGATAGAGGGGATTAAAAGAAGCAAAAAGTTTCATATAACAAGAAAAGAGAAAAGCGAAAGTAAAATAAAATCTGACAACGCCGCAATGCCAGACGCAAATTACGACGGAACGCAGTGTGAATAAAGATGGAGTTTGTTATTTTTGACTCTTAGGTATTATTTCATTATTTGATAATGTACTCGTGAAATGCAAACAATTAAAAAAACGGACTTACCATTAACTGTCTCAGCGCTTCACCTGGTGTGTGAAAGTTTATTGAACGTATTAAAAAATCCACTGCACTTTTTTTGTATTTAAAGAAGGTGTTCAAAATGTCGTCCTCCACTTTCCACACAAGTTTCATCACGACGAACCCAGTTTCTTCTTACTCTAGGTCCTCGAAGTTGTCAATTTATTGTTTCAGCCGCATTAAAAAAATTTTTCGCGAAGCTGTGCTTCAGTTGTTATTGGACCAGCCCCACAAACCATCCCTTTAAGTTCTTCCCAATACCAGAAATCTATCGGATTGAGGTCAGGAGATCTTGCTAGCAATTTTCGAGGATCAGGAGCATTTCGACCGATCCAGCGATCTGGATAATGTTCATTCAAATTCCGAATGACGCCTCTAAAAATGTGTGGTGGTGCCCCGTCGTGAAGAAACCACAAATTCTGCCTCTGTTGTAATGGCATATTGTATAAGGTCTGCTCCACTGCTCCAAAAGTTCTGGTAGGTTATTGGCTAGAAAGCTAAGGTATCCTTCTCGTGACAACTTTGGGGGTAACTCGAAAGGGCCAATTACCTGATCGTCAAGAATACCCGCCCAAATATTTATTTTTAAACGTTGTTCGAAATGACCTTCACGAATGGTATGAGGATTTTCTGGGCCCATGTATGAGTATTATGGAAATTGAACATCCCGTCTCGCGTAAAAGTACATACGTCTGTCGCTAGAATGTTTTTAAAAAATCCGGATTTTCAATGTTTTTGTGCAAAAATCACTGACAGAATGTTAGTCTGCGAGGATAGTCTTCTGGTAACAAGGCCTGTACTCGTGTACATGGTAGGGATAAAGAAAATCTTCCCGTAGGATTCTATGCACTATGGTATGCGATAGACCTACGCGACGGCCTAATTCTGATATCTGATATCTGCATTGATTTCCACGATAGTTAAAATTTGTTCCCTTGCTCTACAGTAACCTGTCTATCACGAGTGCGAATATTGGTGGGCTGAACACTTCCTGTATCTCGAAGACTTTGGTACACTTGCAGAAATGCCCTTCTGTGTGGGTGTACCCGTTGGCGAAATTTGTCGCGATAAATTTGAGCTGCAAGATTTGAATTCTGACGAGCTTCACCGTAAACTAACAACATGTCGGCGAGCTCTTGATTCGAGGTCATTGTAAATAAACACGACGACGTACGCTAACAAAAACAAGGCAACATACTAACCACTGTTACCGTTTGCGATCGATTGTCGGTTCGATAAGAGTGATGAAAAACCGACGGGCTGTTGTCATGTGTGTTTTAAATAATTAATCTAATGAAACTTACTTACTTACTGACTACAAATTTTGGCTTAACTTAGAAAAACTTGATGCCATTTATTTGTTAATTACCCAATTTAAAAACGTTTTAGATTAGATTATAAAAATTAGTAAGATTGTGGTGATTGTGGTCGATAAAAAGCACTTACAGCTGTAAACTATAAAGCCATTTAGACAAAAATCTATTGACTTTTGGACCATGAGTCATATGAACTTTTTGACTTGTTTTTACCCCCCTATTACCCATTAGACACTTCCATTTACTTGAGTCTAGCGTACCGAAAAATATGGTCCAATTTTAGTTTGATGCAGTCTGTCAGACGACACGTTGCCGTTCCCGCTTGCTATTTATGTAACTAGGTGCGTGTGTGAATATGGCAGGACCCGAATATGATGACCCGAAGTTCGAAGAAACCCTTCTAGAATGGTTTTAATAGGAAGGTAGTGATATAGAGTTATAGACAGTACTTCAAAAGACGAATGTATAGAATCAGACCATAGAAGCGACAGTGAATTATCAGAAGACGAAGCAGAAGGAAATGAAGATGATTAATCAGCTCATAATTATTTCTATGGAAGAAATCGTCATAGGTGGAATATTTCGGAAGTTCCACAATCATCACGTGCAAGGAAACATAATATAGTCATCGCGGAACCTGTCCTAAGAGGAAAAGCTCATGAATATAGAGAATAAGTTGCTCCGTTGACTGTTTGACACCTTCTATTTACTGACGTCATGTTGGTATATGTCACTAGGTGGACCAATCACAAGCTATAAGAAATCGAAAATCAAACCCGTAACCTGAACGACACTGATTTAGTCGAATTAAATGCATTACTGGGTCTCTTTATTTATCGGTGTTCAACAACAGCCACGAGAATATTGAAACACTTTTCGCCACCGATCGCTCGGGAAGAGATTTATTCACAGCTGTGATGAACTGCGATACGATTTGGTAAATTCCTGTCAGCCTTAAGGTTCGATAACCGAGATGGTAGCGCCTATATCCCTCATTTTCAACAGTTTTATAAAGAACTGTCAAGATGTGTATGGAGTTGGCCAGTCACAGTCGATGAAATGCTCGTAAGTTTTAGAAGAAGATGCAGATTTAAAATGTATATGCCTGCGAAACCGTGCAAATATGGCTTAAAAATTATGGCATTGACAGATGCAAGGAACAGCTACCTCTTTAACGAATATTTATACTGAGGAACAAATTCCGATAGTTTAGAATTTTCTGATGAACACAAACGATATTCTAAACCCACACAACCTGTTCTACGTCTCAATAAAACCATACGCCTTTGATTCAGCCACAACAGCATTTTCGATGTGACAGCAGAAGGAATGTTTTCTATCAAATGTGACTCCCAAGTCATTAATTTTATTAGGTCTGTCAAGTTTTCTGTCACCAATACTATATTCATACATCATTACCTCTGTTTTTAAAGTAAACGGCACTTCAGCATTCAACACCGGTCTGTTTTCACGACACCAGTTGTCAACCCTTACAATGTTGCATTGCAAGCGATGACAGTCGTCAATGTTAGAGACTCTACAGAAAAGTTTCATATCGTCAGCATATACAAGAAAATCGATATCGATAACTTCAGAAATA